ATACTTTTTGCATGAATAAAACAACTATGCCTCAATCCTAAACTAATTAGGATCATCTATATGAAGGTTCATTATTTGTGTGCCATTGCAAGAGTACTCTATAAATAATACATGCACGTCTACTTAAGCCAGGATTAATTGCCTGAAAGTACTCATGTTAATAACATTTATTCTGTGTTGTGTGCGTAAACTCAGCAAAGCAATAGAAGTATACTAGTGCTTGTATGATACAATATGCAGGCTTCAACTTTTAAGGTGAAAGTTGTACCTTTGGGCAGGATTCAGTGCCCCAGGCCATAGCAGAAATTGCCTGTGGATTTTAAAAAGTCACAGTAAATGGACCATGAAGTAAAAAGTTTAAATTCGGAAAAAAAGTAAGAAATTAAGTGAAATGAGTCAGATGCAATGTCCACTCATGAACGCAAGACCACGGAAGCATATCATCTTATACCTGAGCACCTCCAGCTTTAAGGATGTGGGTCACACCTGCTTTCTTGGCACAATAAAGCACTTCCTACAAGAAATGCATCCAAATAAATGGCCATTGATACTTAAACTTATACCAACAAAGTGAGATTGTAAACAAATACCTTGCAAATACTGCCATCCCGAGAAGGTGGAGTTGCAAGTACAACAGTTTTACACCCAGCAATTTGTGCTGGCTGGCCAAAGGGAAAAATTGATTATTTTGTACTCAGGGAATTAGCATTGAAAGAAATGATTAACGAGAGCATGAAATTAACATGGAAAATTGAATCACCGTACAACTGAAAGCATCAGAGCTGTAGAAGGTAAAATAGCAGTTCCACCAGGAACATAAAGCCCTACAGAGGCAATGCTCCTAGCCACACGTTTACATCTGACACCCTGACAAAGTAGGAACTATGGAAGTTAAAGGAGAAGTAAGAGTGCCAACACAATGCTGCTAAACAAACCCACACAACTGAGATCAATCCTATACAATATCCATAACCTACATGCATGTTCTCCACAACTTTCTCAACAGGCTTTTGAGCAGCATGAAAGGCATATATGTTGTTATATGCCACATCAAATGCTTCTCGAACAGCTGAATCAAGCTGAGTCAAAGGAAGAAGCAGTTAGATTGGAAATAAGACAAACTGAAGTCAATTGTCTTTCAAGACAAAAATTAAAGAAAGAGGAATAGGAAAGGGGACAAAAAAATCCTAAACATAATTCAAACTCTAAAATGTCACTCTTTAATCCCCATCCCCCTCATCAATTAGAAAATGTGTATTTAAATATATACCTCAGGATCTGGAAGTTCATTGACATCTTCAACTATCTTATCCAGTACAACTTTGTCAAACCGCGACGTGTAACTGCCCAGGAAGTTATAGACATCATACCAAAGTAACATCAAGACAAAAAGACAGGTTAACTTTTCTATAGTGGCATCTTTTACTTTCAAACGGAACTATTAACTCTTAAAGAATGATAAGTGATGGACAAGCCGACAAGGAGAAAAAAAACTGAAGATTTTTGTAAGTTCTATAACTATTTAATCTAAACTTAGGGATAGTATGAAGGTTTGAAAGTTTGAACTTAGTTTGTCCAGCAAATTAAAAAACTGGCAACTAAAGTTGATAAGAATCAATTACAGAAAGAGTAAAAACAAGCTGCAAAAGCACGGTAGCAAACCTTCATCTTTGGTTGAAACTAGATTATTAGCTTTAATTAATAAAAGCATATCTAAAAAGTCGATACAACGGGAAGTAGTTTGAAATGTTGGTACAATGTTTCCCAAACGAATTAAAAAAAGAGAGGGAGAGAGAGCATCTGATAATAGGCACAATAGAATCATATTTTATGTTTAGGTTTATAGTTGCAAAGACACAAAGGTCACCAAGTTGGATCTGCTATACGAAACCTTGTCGCTTCTTTTCGCTTTTAAGAGCACTGGATCAGAGATTGAAATGTGGAGTGTGAATATGTGATAAAGCTCATCTTAATGTCAATTAATATTTAGATCATTTTGGTCCATGCAAGAGGAATGAGAACCTAACATAGTTTTCTACAATATAATATGTTAGGAGAGATGCCCTTTACACTATTCATTAATATTATACAGTCTAGCACCTCCATTTGGAGCATATCTTTGGCCTTTGATGTGGATCAATAACACATGTTCCGCATTCTATTTTCCCCCCTTAAATTCCCCCTTAAATCGTTAAAGGTAAACACATGTTCTGCATTCTTATGGTAAGGAAGGCGGAAAATAAGGGAATTTTCACATAACAGCTACAGGGTAAGAATTGTTGATGAACCAAACACTGCAACTAAGGCATAATATCAAACAGGCACTAACTCTTTAACTGCTGCATCACCTCTATTACGGACATCATCAACAATGGGTTGAACCTGATGCGATTCATTCAACATTCAAAATAAGTCTACTTGATTAAACTGAAAAGTAAGTAATTAGAAGGAAAAAGGAAAATACAAATTAGTTCAAAAAGCACTATAAACTCACTATGTTGAAAATGGAGGAGAAATCAATGCGTGGACGAGCTTTGAGGCTGTCAACCTCAGAACTGCTAAGCTCTGATAACCTATATGACTTCATCGAGCACCTAATTGACTTATGAAATAACCCTGTTAATAACCATCAAAAACAACATGACACATTAACCCAACAGTAAATCCCTACGAAGACACATTTAATTTAAAGTATAGCACTTTGTGATGGTTTTCACTAATAAGAACAACTACAAGCAATTGATGGAAAAATTTCATGTGTAAAAATGCTAAATAACAATTTCATTGGTCTATTAACTTATTGCAAAAGGAATTACTGAAAGTAATACCTGCAGGCAGATAAGAACATTTCTGATAATATACAGTATTGCGTGTAGGAATGGCCCGAAGATTACTAGCCAAGCTACAGGACCTATTCAATGATAGAATTCTGCAGTCCATCTATGTTCTGACAACAAACCAAAATTAGACTCTTCTCTCTAACAAATCAATAATCTCGGTAAATTAAAGATAAATTCTTTTATTAGAGCCAATGCACTAAAACAAACTCAACATAGAGTCTACTTCTAATAAACAATACTCTACTTATTATCTTCTACAACTAATAAGATACCTATATTCACTCAAATGTCCATTTGGGAGGAAAAAAGAAAAAGCTTTCTTTATCCAGTGGAAGCGGATAGTCCATACCAATCTTATTTTCAGAGTAAAGCTGAAGTACGAAAATAAACAGTAATTATTGTAAGATTGGGCCATGTAATATTCAAATTACAAGCCCAAGTCATTTCAAATCCCAAGTCACAGGAATGTGTTAGTACTAATATCTTTTGGGTTAGAAACGACAACACTCCAACTAGCTGGTTGGTATGCATGTGTATCTTACTGTAAAATATGCTCTATTCTTCATCATGTCCAATTATTCTTAGTCAACATAAATTTAGGGATGGCAACCAGTGCGGGGCTCATTTTGGTCTTCCTACTATCTTGTTGTTACTTATCATGCTTTTACATGGCTTCTCGCTTCTGTCACTTGTTTTTCTTTTTATTAATGTGGTGCTTATACTTTACTGAGCCGAGGGTCTTATTGGAACAACCTCTCTATCTCCGCAAGGTAGGGGTAAGGTCTGCGTACATACTACCCTCCCCAGATCCCACTATGTGGGATTATACTGGGTTTGTTGTTGTTGTTTGTTAAACGAGGCAGAGCGGTGCGGTTGCGGGGTAAACCCGCGAAGATTTCAACCAGCCCCACCACCCAAAAAATTATTTACTGTTTTTAAACCCGCCCCGCATAATATTTTTAAATTTTTTCTAATTTTAGAATATTATCAAAAGATACCATATTACGATGCATTATATTTTCATTTTAGAGAAATTTTATGCAATTTTTCTTGATTTTTCTTCTTTCGTTGACGCTAACTCCACTCACTTTTGTGCATATGGAGTAATTCTATGTTACCTCATATTTTCAAATTTTCATGTAGCTGTCTATTATAAATTAAAGTTGTGTTTCTTACAAACTATTTTTGGTTCCTTTATGAGAACATAGAGTTGATGGAGCATCTTATAATTACAATGCCAGTATTGAAGTAACAATTTTATTTTTCTAACAATCTGTACTTGTTAGCTTTAACTTACTATAATATATACGCCAGTCTCACATCACCAATGCATAAACATTAGCTTCACTAGGTGATTAGACTAAATAGCACATATTTTTTAATTGAAGTTCAAATGTGCTAGTGGCAAATAACAGAAAGACCAAAATAAAACTAAAGCGAATTTAAGGACAAACATCACTGTTTTCCTAAATAGAATGAATTGAATAGAAACCAGTAACTCTCATATGCAGTCATCAATGATCCAAGGCAGCAAATCACAAATGGTTGTCCGGTGACTTAATTGTTCATATTTACCTGAAAGTTTTATCACAACAAGTATTGAAAATCTAAAATAACTTCTATTAAAAACCATTCAACAAACAGCCAATAATTAATCCAAAATAGCAATAATGACAGATAACATTACAAGAACTCAGGAAGCAGGGGAAGGATAGAAAAACAAAAACTCAATAGAATTCATAACTTGCAAGGCTAAGATTCAAAATTAAGTTCGAATCTTATCCAAAAAGAAAGAAAAGAGAGAAAGAAAGTGTTATCTGATGTCCGTAATCTTTAAAATTAAGTGAAAAGTGAGAGTGTACCAGGGATGGAGAGATGAGATTGTCCCACGAAAGGAGAAAGCTTCTACTGTGGACCTGTGGTGCAGCTTGAGTTCGTCAGTCAGAGATTAAGATTGAGATTGAGATTGAGTTTTGAGAGATGAGATTTGAGAGAGGCAGAAAGAACATTTGATTCTAGCTTTTACGTTCTTACGTTTTAGTTCAGTAGCTTTTAGCGTTTTAGGTCTTTAGACTTGGGTTTTATCTTTTCTTTATCCGACCCGCATGAAATTCTTTTTAAAAAAAATTGAACCCGCCCGACCTGCACCGTGAACTCTCTAACCCGCACCACATGTACATGTTTGGAGCTTGAAAAAAAATGTTGCCTGCAAAAATAGGTGTTCTTTCACGGATTCTTGCAGTGAACTACTTCATGTTGTTAAATTTGGGTGAGTCAAGAGTTGCCCAAAAAGAAGGTAAATTCTTGCTCCTTTTTTATAGTTGTTGAGCTGGGGTGAGATTTAACTACAGTCTACAAAGTTGTGCAATAAATCAAGAATTCTGAAATACTGAGCTTATTACTTTTTCACCCACCTATTCAGCAAAGTTTATTGAGAAAATATCAATATGAGTCTCTAAAAGAGTAGAACTGTAGAAGGCTAGGACCTGTTAAAATTTTGTATGCTAAAAGAAAAAGTTGAGTTTTTTGGTTCGCAGTACATTTTTTACATGATTTTGGGAGGACTAGGTTTGAGCAGTATCACTGTTAGTTTTGCTGTGAAGTGATACTAGTCTTTAAATGACTCTAACGATAGTATCTTGTTGGAGTAAGGATTTTGTGGGCCGTCATAATTCAATTGCACTGCATTACTTAAAAAAGCTTCCTTGAGATAGAATCTTACTTAGGGCTTGAAGTTTTGGACTTACAAAAAAGAAAAGGCTGGAAATTTAGTACTATTATGTTAGGAATTAATACAATCTGGTGAATTTGGTTCTTTAAATGATGCAGAATTTCACATGGATTCTGCAAGTTTGCTAGGGGAACTTTCTGCAACTCTATAGCCTAACTCAAAAATGTTGAACCTTATGGGGTCAATTACAGGATGAGAATATATTAAAAAGGGATATTAGAGGTTTTTCTAGCAAATTGCTCACCAATTCCAAATTGTTGGTGGGGAAGTGGGGTTTGCAGTGTTTGAAAATGAATTTTGTTTGGTCATATTTTGGGGTTTATGCTGGTGCTGAACAAATGTAGGAATTCTGCTTCCTGCCTTTGCATTAGACTTGCAGTTATCTCCACTTTGAATTGTCTTGCTACTAAGGTTTGCATCATTTACCAACAATCTGTTGTTTGACATCTTCTTTTGGCAATTTGTCTCTGTTGACATTCTAGAACAAATTGCCGTTACAATGGGAGCGACACACTGGAAGTTCAATGGTGAATTGTGCCAGATTGAAGCAGTCAGAGTGACAACTGATTGACCAAGTTGGTCCGAAACTGATGTTAAATGCAACTGCAGTATAGGAAAGGATACTCTCTGCCACGTAGTAGCTATGTAATCTTTCGTCCTCTTGCTCGATTTCAGTTCTTTAGTACTTCGTGTTGTTTGAAGAGCAGCATAGATGATTTAGAGAATACAGCTACTAAGTTCTAAGTTACTGATGTCTTGTCTTTACTGCTAGAGAACCCATAACCATGTTTAATTAAGTTGTATCCATTTCCTACATCTTCACAACATCCTTATATATATATATATATATATATATATATATATTCTCGGACAATTAAAAGAAACAAGATTATAGGAGGAAATTACTGATCAAACAAAAAGAATGGAGGGAGTTTCATTCTGCCATATATAAGCTGTGCCTTTGCCGAAGACCTCTTTTATCTTTATGGATTGAGATTGTATTATATTTGATTAAATCTTAGGCTTCCTGAGATGTATGAATTGCAGCTTGACATCATTGGCTTTTTCACTTGAGTAAAAAGTAGTGATTTACATCACCATCATAGAGCGGTTCCTATTGATGCTTTCTGTTGTGACTGTACTTGGTTTCGTTTTATCTAAGTGAGTATAATATCTTATTCAAACTATTTTAGATAATTAAATTACATTGTTGACTCTTGAAATTACTTATGCAGTACTCTTAAGGGCATAAGTCTTCCTGGAGTTCTTCCACCTGAACTGGTAAAGGTTCCTTAGATTCAACCAATGTAAGCACCTTTTGAATTCCATTATCACATTCCTTTTATATCCCATTAGAATCTTATTCAATGCCCAAATGTTGATGAACACCATTAACTGAGTTCAACTTTTCTCGAATTTCAGTGATTTTGCATACAATTACCTCAGTGGTAGTATACCAGCCGAATGGTCGTCAACCCAGATAAACTCTATGTAAGCCTCATCTATTATCTTACTAAACCAGCTGTTATGGATGTTCTCAATCATCAATTGTAACTGCAAATGTTTTATCCAGCTCTGTTCTTGTGAACCGGTTGTCAGGAGAAATGCCGAAGGAACTGGGAAACATTATCAACCTTACCTATATGTATGTATCAAATATTGATTATCTGATCTGATTTCTTTTCTTCATTGCTGATGTAGCTGTTTGGACAGCTTTTGGAAAATAGCTTTTTTAAAAATAATATTTTTGCACAATCATTTCTAAATTAATAAAATTATTAGAAACTACTGGGTACATCTTACCCTCCCCGACCCCACTTGTGGGAAACTACTCGGTTTGTTGTTGTTGTTGTATTTCTAAGTTAATAAAATTGTCTTTCTTATATGATCAATGCAAGCTTACCAGCTTTTATGCTACAGTTTTTTTTTCCCCTTGATGCAGTGTTGGACATGCTCTTCTTCATTACAATAAGAATCATCTCATTTTCTGTTTCTGTTTTTCATGTTTTTCAATTATTTTCCCAAAAAGTCAGCAGTGCACGAATCTATATGTCAATCTTTCATCAGCAACTTCGCAGGGAACCAATTCTCAGGCATTATTCTTCCTGAAGTAGGAAAACTGATAAACTTAAAGACACTGTAAGACCGTTCTTTTCCTTTTTCTCTTTTGGGCCTTTGGACATGAGTTGTGATTTAAATTCCTGAATATGCAATGGATCACAGTTTCAGGCTATTGTCCTCCAACCAACTGGAGGGAGAGCTAAGCCAACATCACTGTCTGGACTTGTAAATTCAATAGATTTGTAAGCACATGGTTCTTCCATTATCCATTTAGCTAGCATCTAAAAACTTTTTTTGACACTATTTTGTTTCATAATGCAGTAGGATAAGTGATAACAATCTCAGTGAGCCAATTCCAGATTTTATACAGAATTGGAAACAACTTGCAAAATTGTAAGAATCTCTCTTCTTATGCCAGAGGATCTTGAGATATCTTTGCTAGCACAATGATTTTGTAATCTCAAGTATTTATTACTTATTTTGGATAATCAATGAAGAGAGCAGCATGCCTCCCGTCTAGAGGGTCCCATTCCATCAGGCATATCTCTCCTCAATATACTAACCGACCTGTGAGTACGGAACTCTGAAATATTGAGATCACTAATCTGCTTCTTTATTTTAGTTTATGGATCTCATTACATTGTGAAGACTTCTAATGTTGAGTCTCCTGTTCAGGAGGATTAGCGACATAAATGGACCAATGCAGGAATTTCCTCCTCCAATTAACATGACAGGCCTAGTGATACTGTAAGTTACTTAGTAGTTAATGCCAATTAACATTGGCATCTAAATTTTGATGGATCTCTTCTGAATGCTGTACTATCATCGGATTCATGATATTGAGAAACTGCAACCTTTCTGGAGTAATTCCTGAATATATTTGGCAATTGAAAACTATACAAGCATTGCAAGTAGTTTCACATGCAATTTGGCAAATTCAATATTCTGTGTTACATTCATTATCATTACATATCTGATGTTAAACCTTGTGTCCAATTGCAATAGCCTTGAAAAATACTGACTGTCAACTTTGAAAGACTCGGGGTCAGTGCACTTATAGTTGGTCCTTCCACTTGGAGTTGCATAAGTATTTAGCGTACAAGCAAGTACTTCCTTCCTTCCACCAATATGGTAAGTAGAAAGAATCCAAATGAGGGTGTTTCCATACACAACAAGTGTAGATAAACCCAAAATATAAGCTAATAGGATGAACCTCAATACAATGCCATTTCCTCTAGTTGCTTTCCACTCTCTTTTTCTCCATTAGTTAATGACTAACGCTGCATCTAAAACCTTCATCTGTTGCATTCTGGGTAATTCTTGGAGTTGCAAAATCAAGTGACTACTGGAGTGGTTTTTGCAAATTGAAGTGCACTGGAATCGTTATACCTTATGAAATACTAGGTGTAATTAAAATTTTCTAGGGAAACCACAACATATAGGGAAGACTTCCCCGCCACATTAAACATAATTCATGCTTTCACTAGTTAAAGGGTGGGAAAGACAAGGGTGGCGGTTATGGGTTTGAAAGTGCAAACTCTCCGTTACTTTTTGTATGCTTTTCGAGGTAAAATTTTCTTTTATTTATCTTGTGGTAAACTAACATTCTAAACATGTTCTTGTACTGTTGTGTAGAATTAAGAGGACTAGATCTGTAAACTGGTGTATTTACTTTCAGACAAATTAAAGCTACCACAAGTAACTTTGATGCTGCAAGTAAGCTTGGTGAAGGTGGATTTGGATCTGTCTAAATGGTGAATATGCATAAGAAATCTCATACTTCTTCCTTCTTACACCTCCCTGTGGAATTCCTAATTGATTAATATCGCAAATCATCTATGAACTTCATCCATTTTTTGTTAATGCTCAGGGTACACTAGCGGATGGTACTATAATTGCTGTCAAGCAGCTTTCATCCAAGTCAAGACAAGGGAACCATGAATTTGTAAATGAAGTATTAATAGGCATGATGTCAGGTTTACGTCACCCAAATTTCATTCGACTCTACGGATGTGTTGAACGAAACCAACTTTTACTAGTTTATGAGTACATGGAGAACAATAACCTTTCCCATGTTTTATTTGGTAAGTAGTATTCTTGATGGATTACTTAAGGTACAACTCATAAAGGACACTAAGCCAAAAAATGAAAGAAAAATAAAGTTTGGTAATCCCAAGTAACTGGGCATAATTCTCAAGTTTATATATTCATCTGTGTGAATATGTACATGCATATATGTTAAAGTTTTGCCTTTTTATTTTATTTTTTATTTTATGGGAAGTGAAGAGTTTTACCTTTTTTAGACTTATACTAGAGATGAAACTCTCATACTTTATAAAAGAGAAGTTTTTCTTTTGTAAGACACATTGTAACTGTTACGCGGCGCCTTCCTGAAATTCCTTGGAAGGGCGACGTAAGACNCACGGGGCGCGTCCAAGGGGTCATGGGAGGCTTGCCGGACCGTGGCGCTAGGTGTTATGTTCTTCATTCACGACTGGATTTGAATCGAGGATCTGACCGAGGACGAGGTCATTTATCAATCTAAATTCAGACTTGATCATAGTATGCAACTGGTTTGAACGTTTATATCACTTCTAACTCATTTATTTGATATTCTTAATTGTTCGTGTTAGATTAAATCACATATCCTTAAAACCACATATAAATTTAATTGTTACCCAATTTTGGGGTAAACAGTTTGGCGCTCACCGTGGGGATAAGGATAATAGTGGTAATTCGATAGGAACCTTCATAACACACCCTATTTTACGCTTGTTATTTGAAGTCTTAATTTCAGGTCAGCCCAAAAATGTCAAGCTCTCTGTCTTCTCACTTGAACGTTGACGCTAAGTCTGGCCATCACGACGAAAATAATAATTTGGTGCCCAGTAACGAGGTGCCCCCTGCCGATCCCAACGGTGTCCCAATTTTTGATCCGGTCGATGCTAACTCGCAGGTGGACATCAACATCAATTTGCCAACTAATCTCGAAAATAATGTTCGTGTGACCTCGACCAACGGCTCGAGAAGCGCCCGAAGGCGAAGGTGATGGGGGTAAGCCTGCGACTAATCTTTGAAATGTTGCAGGCTTTGCAGGCGACGATAGCACAACTGCAGAATCAAAGTCACGCCCCAACAGGGTCGAGCCCGAACGATCCCGGAAAAGCACTCGAAGAGATGAGCAAATTATCGAGAGACCGAGTGAAGCCGAGCCCGGGGTAAACACTGAAGTGATGAAGATGTTCGAGGAGTTGACAAAACGAGTGGAGTCAGGCGAGAAAAAGATTGAGGCTAATAACAAGAAGGTGGAAACATACAACTCCAGGGTCGATCAGATCCCGGGGGCACCCCCGATATTGAAAGGACCAAACTGCAGAAAATTTATCCAAAAGCCTTTTTCCCTGAGCGCGGCACCAAAGCCGATCCCAAAGAGGTTTCGTATGCCCGACATCCCCAAATATAACAGGGCCAAGGATCCAAATGAGCACATGACCTCCTATATATGCGCAATCAAGGGGAATGATCTGGAAGACGATGAGATAGAGTCGGTATTACTAAAGAAGTTTGGGGAGACTTTGTCCAAGAGCGCAATGATATGGTATCACAACTCGCCCCTAAATTCCATTGATTCGTTTGCTATGCTTGCATATGCTTTCGTAAAAGCCCATGTCGGGGCCATCAAGGTCGAGACCAAGAAGTCAAACCTTTTCAAGGTCAAACAGAGGGACAACGAGATGCTCAGGGAGTTCGTGTCAAGGTTCCAGATAGAACGGATGGACCTACCTCCAGTTGCAGATGATTGGGCCGTTCAGGCGTTCACTCAGGGGTTCAACCCCCGAAGTTCCTTGGCCTCTCAACAGCTAAAATAAAATTTGGTGGAGTACCCGGCGGTAACCTGGGCGGACATCCACAACAGGTATCAGTTAAAGATCAGGGTCGAGGACAACCAACTCGGGGACCCTTCTGGTTTTGTTTACCCCATCAGGGCCGACGATAGGTCTAAGAGGGCCATTGATTAAGAGCCAAGACCAGTCCGAGATCGTATCAACCATACAACGGACCGAAGGGGAAATGGGTCTGGGCGTCATGAGAAGAGAGCGATCGAGGGATCGATGGTCGAGGCCTGATGAGTAGAAATGTGTTCGATAGGCCGCTCGGGAGAAGGGAACCACCGAGATTGTCAGAATACAACTTCAATGTGGACGCCGCTAGCATCGTGTCAGCCATAGCACGTGTTAAAGAGACCAAGTGGCCCCGACCTTTGCAGTCCGATCCGACCCAGAGAGATCCCAATTTGATGTGTAAATATCACGGTACTCACGGCCACAGGACCGAAGATTGCCGAAAGTTAAGAGAAGAAGTTGTCCGGTTATTCAACAACGGATACCTCCGAGAATTTCTGAGTGATCGAGCCAAAAACCACTTCAGGAGCAGGGACGCCAACAAACATGTCGAACAAGAGGAGCCTCATCACAATCAACATGATCATTGGAGGAGTCGATGTCCCCCAAAGGCCAATGATGAAGCGCATTAAAGTATCTATCACAAGGAAAAAATGCACCCGGGATTATGTCCCGGAAGGAGCCATTTCGTTAAGCGACGAAGATGCCGAGGGCATCGTTAGCCTCAAAATGATGCGTTGGTAATATCCATACTTATCAATAAATCTCAAGTTAAATGTGTGCTGATTGATTCACGTAGCTCGGCCAACATCATCAGATCGAAGGTCATAGAGCAATTGGGATTACCGGACCAAATTGTACCAGCAGTCCGGGTGTTGAACGCATTTAACATGGCATGTGAGACCACTAAAGGAGAAATAACCTTACCGGTGAGCACCGCCGGGACAATCCAAGAAACAAAGTTCTACGTGATCGAGGGGAACATGAGGTATAACTCTCTGTTCGGAAGGCCATGGGTTCACAATATGAGGGCGGTACCCTCGACCTTGCGCTAGGCGTTGAAATTTCCACACCGGGGGGAGTCAAGACTGTCTACGGAGAACAGCCAATTGCAAATAAGATATTTGTTGTCGATGGGGTAGTTCCGGTGCCCGCGGTTTCAACATCGAGGAATGCGGAACCTACCAGAAAGGCAGGGGTTAAATAGGAATCACTAATACCGGCCTCGGTCGAGCCGGAGAAACTGGAGGAACGAGGAGCAGACGAAGAGAACGAGTACGACGTCCCGAGATCCTTCATAGCTCTTGATGACACCGACGCCACCAAATCGACTATTGAAGAGTTGGAGCAAGTCGTATTAATCGAGCACCTACCAGATCGAAAGGTATACCTGGGCACGGGGTTAACCCCCGAGCTCAGGAAAAAACTTATTAATTTTCTTAAAGCTAACGTCGATGGTTTCGCTTGGTCCCATCTTGACATGACAGAGATTCCACCGGAGGTAACCACTCACAAGCTGAGTTTGGACCCGAAGTTCCATCTGGTTAAGCGGAAGAGGAGGCCACAATCTGAGATCAAACATGGGTTAATTAAGGATGAGGTATCCAAACTTGTAAAAATAGGATCCATCTGGGAGGTTAAATACCCGGACTGGTTAGATAACGTAAGAATGTGTGTGGATTACAAGGACTTAAACAAAGCATGCCCTAAGGATTCTTTCCCTTTGCCTAACATCGATCGAATGATCGACGCGTCAGCCGGGCACGAGATACTCAGCTTTCTCGACGCCTACTCCAGGTACAACCAAATTCGAATGGACCCGAACGATCATGAAAATACTTCTTTCATTACCAAATTCGGCACCTACTGTTATAACGTAATGCAATTTGGATTAAAGAACGCCGGTGCCACCTACCAATGTCTGGTAAACCGGATGTTCGAAGAACAAATAGGGAAATGAATGGAGGTTTATATAGACGATATGCTGGTCAAGTCCCTGCGAGAAGAGGACCATTTGAAACATTTGCAGGAAACCTTCGACATATTAAGAAAATACAACATGAAGCTAAAGTCGAAGAAGTGCGCATTCGGAAGTCAGATTAGGCAAATTCCTCGGGTTCATGGTATCTAATCGGGGGATCGAGATCAACCCCGACAAAATAAAGGCCATAGAGGACATCACCGTGGTGGACAACTTCAAGGCAGTTCTAAGGCTGACCGGTCGTATCGCCGCACTGGGCCGGTTCATCTCGAGGTCCTCGGACAAAAGCCATTAATTCTTCTCGCTATTGAAGAAGAAGAATAACTTCTCCTGGACCCCGGAATGCCATCAAGCTTTGGAAGAACTCAAACGGTACCTGTCGAGCCCCACTGCTACATACTCCAAAAGCGGACGAGTAGTTGTACCTCTACTTGGCGATTTTCGAGGTAGCGTTAAGTGGCGTCTTAGTCCGGGAGGAAGAAGGTACGCAATATCCTATTTACTATGTTAGTAGAACTCTAGGCAAGGACGAATCAAGGTATCTTCACTTGGAAAAGTTAGCACCCCCTTTACTAAGCGCTTCCACGAAGCTGAAGCCATAGTTTCAATGCCACCCTATATGTGCCGTAACCTTTTACCCGATGAGTAATATCATGCATAAGGCTGAGCTCTCGGGTAGGTTGGCCAAATGGGCCGTGGATATTAGCGGGTACGACATCGAGTACCGACCCCGAACCACCATAAAATCTCAGATTTTGGCAGACTTCGTGGTCGACTTTACGCCGACCATAATACCCAAAGTCGAAAGGGAACTACTACTCACCTCGGGGACTACTTCGGAAATTCGGACCCTCTTCACGGGTAGTGCCTCCAACGCGAAGGGGTCCGGGCTTGGTATCGTATTGAAACCACATACGGGAAGTATAATTAGGCAGTCTATTAGAACTGTGAAATTGACTAACAATGAGGCCAAGTATGAGGCCGTGATTGCAGGTCTAGAATTGGCTAAGAGCCTTGGGGCCGAAGTGATCAAAGCCAAGTGTGACTCCCTCCTCGTGGTCAATCAAGTCAACAGAGCATTCGAAGTAAAAAAAAAAAGAACGGATGCAGAGGTACATGGACAAATTACAGGTAACCCTACACCAATTCAGGGAATGGACCCTACAACATGTACCCCGAGATCAAAATAGTGAGGCCGATGCACGGGCTAACTTGGGGTCGTCGGTTGATTCTGATGAATTCAACTCGGG